CCATCATTGCTCTAATCAATGAAAAAAAAATGTACAAAACTGAAAAATCCATAAAAACAGATTAAAATATAGAACCTCATAGATAGCCCATATTTATAAAGAGCAAAGAACAAAGACATATTTGTTGATATCCATTATCAGAATGAGGTCCATATACTGTGTGTTTTTCAGAAATGACTACTGGTTTTGTTAAAAGAAAGGCTTCCTTGATCAAGCATGCTCTTCAGAGTCCAATTTGCCATTTTTCTTTTCTTGCAAATAAAGAATAATGTTTAAGACCCACAATAGCTGTACCTCATTATAGCTGTAAAAGCTGTATAAATTCCTCAAAAAGTAGAATCTACGTTGAGTTTAAGATCCAGATACGTGTGAAGAACATAATTAGCAAAGTTGCACCCGGTACAGATATAACCATTTTTGGAGTAATCAAATTAGTATACAATTATCCTGAGAAGTAATTGTAAATATTCCATGGAGGCATAGGAGCTGAGACACATATCATAAACCATCTAGATTAAGCAACTGCACCTTAGGGATTCCACAAAGAACAAGACAGAAAAGTCTGGCTGATGTATCCAAAGATTGATAGCACTTCACAGGCAGGTGAACACACGCATTCTCAAGCAGAACCACTTTCTTCAGCAAGGGAGTAAGACCTTGCCTGTTTTAACCTATCTATACAACTGGGGTTTTTTTTACAAAAAAACTTCCATTCCTCTTTTTCCTGATTAAACCTATGACTGAACAATCTTTTCATCTTGGCAGTCCAAATACAGACAGAAATCAGGAGAGGAGCAGTGCAGCTGCCACTTATCCTCCTTGGTAAGTTGCTCATTTTGCACCATTTTTTTTTATTCAGCTGTTTTCTAATTTTTATTTATTTGCTTATTTATTAAATTTATATGCCACCCATCTTGCTGTCTGAGGTGACTCTAATGTCTTAAGTCCAATGCAATCCTCATCTGCATGGTAAGATGGCCTGAGAGACGAGAATATAAACAAGGGTGAAAGTTACCCTTCTATACACCTTTGGTAGATGTTCATGTGTATCCAGCACCTTTGTAGCAAACATAACACCATCTATTGGCAAATGATTTGTCAGGATGAAGTAGTTTTCTCATTTTCCAAGTGCCAGTCAATACATTATGATCTTAAATAGAAATCATGGATTCATTGTCACCACAATTCTATTGAATGACAGATGCCCATATTACAAAAATATACAGAGAATGACATTATTTTCTTAGGATACGGAGAGGAAGTAATGTTTTTTTTTTAAATCACTATCTAGCAAAAAGGCATGTTTTGTTAACTCAGCACAAATGACTACCTACCGACATGTGCAAACAAGCATTTAGAATACAGCATTAACAGCAATTTCTTTTTTTTTAAAAAAAAATCAGCGTTGAGGAAAAAGAATGGAAAATCATAAAGGGTTGTGACTTAGCCGAGATATTGGAATGGCTATCCTTGTCCTATATATAAAGTCCTTCATGAGTGGTTCTACTCAATGATGGCAACTGCAATCTATGAGAAGGATTTTCTACTGATGTGCTGCATTTTTTTACTACTCTTCAGGATAAGTAGAAGAACTTTCAAAAAATATTTTCAAAGAGTTTTAAAATGTCAGCTGAATTATTGTTATTCTGCTGTTCTTGTTCTGTATTCTCCTTCTGCTTTTTGGTTCTGGTTACTAAAACCAATATTGAATTTTGTAGTATCTTAAATTAATGCATTTCTTGTGGTGTAAGATGTCTATGAACTAGAGCAAAGAAAGCTTTATGGATCTAACTTTTATAGATCTAACTTTTTTGACCTACTGTTTTGCTCCAAACTTGTTCCTCCCTTGTGGTTCTTCTGTACATTCAGAATTCCCCACCAAATTATTTTTCATACTTACACAAAGAAGGAAAAGAGAAACTTTGGAGGAGTTGCAGATTAATCACTTACTTTTCATTGCATTCATTGTTCATAATTTGGTTGAGATAGAATCTAAGGTTCCAAGCTGTAGTTCTAGACAAATAGGGAAAAATAGTGAAGAAATTTTATGAATTCAGGTGTGCAAATTTTCTGTCTTGCACATCTCCTTGAAAAGAATTTTCATCGCCTAATTTTGCATGTCTTTTCAATCAGGAGTGGGGATTATGCTTATATTTACTATCAAATGCTGTTTATGGCTTAATGGGACATCTAATTAAAACTAAGAGGTCAGGTCACCACTTTGTTCCAAAGAAGTATTTACTTGATGGTTCACAACATATGACAAGTGCTGAAGTACTGATATGTTTATCAGCTTGTGAAGATTTTTCCACATCAACAATGCATGAAGATAAAGCAGTGGAGCATTATGATGGTCCTTTAGCTTCCAATTAAATGACCAAATGAAGTGAAACAGTGAAAAAGTAATGAAGTACTGATAACGGAATCCTATATTCCAACTTGTGCAGGATGACCATGTAATTAACAAAAAGAACAAGCAACATGAAGTGAGTTTTAGCTACTATATATTAACCTATTATTTACTATTGATCTCCAAATTGTTGGATTTTAATCTCTGTAGCCCCCTTGAAACAGGCTAGTTTGAACTCCAATACATTTTGGAGCTGCTCCAGTATAATGTTAGAAACAAAGTGAATTGTGAAAGCTAAAGAACATTAAGACATTTCCCACATGCTAACAAGTCTTCAGTACTTCAGGTCTTCATAGTTTCAGCTGTGAACTCATCCCAACTTCATGGGAAATGCTAGAGCAGGGGTCTTCAAACTGGCCCTTTTATGACTTGTGGACTTCAACTCCCAGAATTCCTCAGCCAGGCACGCTGGCTGAGGAATTCTGGGAGTTGAAGTCCACAAGTCATAAAAGGGCCAGTTTGAAGACCCCTGTGCTAGAGTTTCTGAATATTCCTCCTTGCATTTAAGATCTATTGCTAGTTGTGGTAGTGGAACTATACAGTATCATGCCTCAGTTTTACAACCATTTGTTTTTTTCAGTAGCTAAACACATAGGCAAATTATTGCTGCCTAATACCATCCAGCCATCACTGAGACAATATAAAGCCTATCTATATTACAGTTATTTTGGGACAATGATGGCTGTATAAGACCTTACCATATACAAGTGGAGACCATGACATCACTCTGTGTGGTTGCCATGGAGGAGAGAAGAAAAGACATTCAAAACAATACTTACAATCAATCACCAGAAACAGAATTTTGAAGGCTGTCAGGGAAGTAGGCTTGAGTTGTGGGGAATAGAGATGGTCCTGAAAAAAGCAGATAATCATGCATTCCTATTCAGCAAGCAAGAAACTGCTAGCATTCCCTCCTGCCATCCACAAGACAGTGTCTTAAAAAAAATTAGCAGCAACTTGGTACTTTGCATCAGAGAGATCCTGTCACAGAATAGAAAAGAAAATGGAAATCTTGCCAATTTCTCCCCAGCACTCACTCACTCACTGCCTAGATTAGTGTGCTTGAGGGTTGGGGATTTGCAAGAAGCCACAAAGAATCAAAACAGTTCAGACTCATTCCAACTGTGTTTCAAAGTAGAATTACAGAATGGGGTTCATTTGTCTGGCCCTAGTCAAAAATCAGAATGGAATGGTTGCAGTGATGAATCTCTGAACAGAATGCTGTATATCAGGTCAAGTTCTAAAACCAGGATGAGTCAAGAGTTCCTCTGAATTGCCAAACTTCACTCCTCAAAACGGAAATAATCACTTTTTGGCTATTTCAAGTAAATCAGAGCTGATTCAGAAATAAGTTTGCCCAGCTGTTGAACACAAATGATTGTTTAAGAACACAAATCCCTAGAACCAATTTTGAAATAATACAAAGAATGCAAACCATATTAAACTCACCCTACTTCCAACTCCCCATAGCTTGACTCAGTCTTTTCTACGTTTATGATGTGGGTAAAAGCTGTAGTCCTGAGTCCCGCAAGGGAGATAGGGCGGTATATAAATTTAATAAATAATAATAATAATAATAATAATCCCATTCCCCCTTTTGACCTGTGAACTTTTTAAACTGAAAAATCAAAATTAAAAGGACATTAGTTTTATCACATTAATTAACAATCCATGCATATATTTATATACTAAACTTATGTATAATCTTTTATGAAAAATAAATTATAAGGTGGCTCACTTGGTTCTTTTTCTAAAGGATAAAAAAAAATCTTAAAAGTTTTTTCTGCTTTGTTGTCATAACATCTCAAACATATCTTAATCCTGTAAATTTTTTAATACAACATTTCTCCTGGAATCATGTTTTTGTTTTAAAAAAAATTAAATTTGCACCTCTACAGGTCTGTAGCAGGAGGAGGCATGAGGTGACATTTTTCCAGTTGAAAAATCAGTTTCTCAAAATCCACCCCACTTGCCCTGTTGTTTCAAAAGTTCAAAAAGCAGTTATTCAAAAATTATAAAACAACACTGATATGGAAATGCTCACATGAAACAAGATTCTGTGATTCTGTGTTGCTTATTTTTTATTATGAATATGTATTCATGCTATTGCCTGAACTGCAATAGCAGCAATCAAGGATTTCAGTAAAAATAACAGTTAGACACAGAATCATAAGATAACCAGGTGTAGGTGTGTTCATTAAACTTCTCAAACAGAAGGATATATTTGCACCATACACAATAAAAATGGTAAGTCAAGAATACGAACAGCATTATTTTAATTTGGTATGAATTTCTATAGTGCTTGGAAGCTCTCTTGCATATTTTCCCTTTCATTTAGTGCAACTACTAATGTGATACTCCAGAGGCTGTTGAATTCTAATTCTCTCTAACCCATCATCTTCCTGCCCATTGAGGAGGATTCATAGAAACTTCTGCTCAACACTAAAGAACCACACGTTGACCTTCACCCTTTTGTTATATCAAACCCTCTGTTTGTTTCAAGTATCATGTGCCTTCTATATACTGACTTGATCACAGATTTTCTTATTTTCTATTTGGATTACTTTTAGGATAGGGGCAATCATTCTGGATGCTTCAGGAGAACTGTACAGCAATGCTGGATTTTATGTTTTTGGCTTTTCCCACTCAACCACAGTATCAGTCTTTGCTTTTCTTGGGCATTAGCACAGTTTATGCAATTATAATTATAGCTAACACACTGATTATATTAGCTATCTGGAGGAACCCTCATATGCACATCCCTATGTATTTCTTTTTGGGAGTTCTCTCTGCGATTGAACTCTGCTATACAGCAACTGTGGTCCCACAGATCTTGGTGACCAGCTTGCAAAAGAAGAAGGTCATCAGTTTTAGGAGTTGCTGTGCCCAGATGTTTCTTTTCATTGGACTAGGTAGTGCTGATTGCTTCTTGCTGGCTATCATGGCCTTTGACCGTTATGTGGCTATTTGTAAGCCTTTGAAATACAACTTCATCATGACTCAGCAGCTATGCATTCAGCTAGTAGTTGTCTCATTGATTATTGCTTTCCTGATTTCCCTGATACTGGTATGGTTAGTCTTTCACCTCTCCTTCTGTGCTAAGCTTGGAATTGAACATTTCTTCTGTGATGTGCCCCCTATATACCAGCTCATAAGTAATAAAACTGAAGTCAATGAAGTTGGGATACTGTTTTCAGGAGTAATGGCCATTGCAGTGCCTTTCATATTGATCTGCATCTCTTATCTTTTCATCACGATTGAAGTGCTGCAGATCCATTCAGCCAATGCTCATCAAAAGATTATTTCTACTTGCTCTTCCCACCTAGCTGTGGTGGCCCTCCAGTATGGTTGTTGCAGCTTTATGTACTTGCGTCCAAACACCAGCTTTTCTCCAAAGCAAGACCAGCTACTCTCCATGGTCTATACTCTGGGCACACCATTACTCAACCCCATAATCTACAGTCTAAGGAACAAAGAAATGAAGGTAGCCCTGAAGAAAGTCCTCGGCCACTGAATTTTTCAAAAGGATTAATTATCCCACTAACTGCTTAATGTATTGTAGAATGGATGCCCTTAAGAATCTTAAAATCCTGCACAGAAAAATTGCTTCGCATCTGGAGGTGGACTATTTTTCTGGACATTGAGTTTGATAACTTGAAAGAATGACTTCAAGGAAGCTAGACACTGAGGAAAATATTAGGTCATCTATTTTATGGTTTCATAACAGAGTGAATGCACAAATGAAGGCACTAATAGGACAGCATGTGTAGGGCACAGCAATGGGGTCTACGACAATTTACCACTGCCAGCTTGCCATGGCCAACTCATCACAGCCAACTTGCCACGGCCAACTCATCACAGCCAACTTGCCACGGCCAACTCATCACAGCCAACTTGCCACGGCCAACTCATCACAGCCAACTTGCCATGGCCAACTCGTCATGGCCAATTCGCCATGGTCAACTCACCACAGGGCAATTTGCTGCGGGACAAGAGTTACACTAATATCAAAGAAATGGTGGGAAAGAATCATTAAAGAAAGGATGCAAAAGGAGGAAGAGAGTGAAATGTGAATGAGAAAAATTAAAATATTTTTTAATTTATTTTAAATAATTAAATTGAATTGTTAAGTTGTCCCATGGCGAGTTGGCTGTGGCGAATTGTCCCGTTATACACCTTATTACTTGTTAATGATTTTATTACTAAACAGACGTATTAATGATCTTATTACTACACAGTCCTTATTACGTATTAGTGATCCTTTTAAGACACAGTCATTATACACTGATTGGATTACGCGTAACGTGTACCTATGTTACATACATCGTTTGGGAGGTAACATATGGGCACTCTTTACTTGGATTACATTTTCAATGTGTATTCCTTTGTTCCTGAGAAAAGGAAAGTATAAAGCTGAAGTTTGAACCCGCCCTCAGGGTTCAGAATTGCTTGTCTCTATTGCTTCTGAACCTGTGCAATAAATCTCTCTACTAAAACTCTCTGGAATTCATAAAAGTCCTTTCGTTTTCCACAAGACCGTGGCGAGTTGTCCCATTCCGCAACAATGATACAGCTCCTTCCTTGTCCTTTGATTTTCTTTTATAACCACTATTCCCAACAGCTCTTTAATTATTTTCCCAGCTGAATGCTCAGACTAAACCAAACTGGGTTGGAGGATTTGCAAAGGAGAATAAGGAAGCGTTAAAAAACCCAGCAACAATGGGATTGGTCTGCCTCACCCATGCCGGCAGAAAGGGCATGCTGTGGGCTCCATCAGTCAAGAAGTTCCTTCTCTGCTGGGGGGGCTCCTGCCCTTTCGAACATCTTATTCGCTTCCCCCTAGGTGAGATCTATACTGACCTTCTGTAAGGGCCTAAAGGCCAGGCTCTGCCAGTTGGCCTGGGGCCCCAATAGGGGGGGGATACCATTCTGGAGGTGGCTGTTAGATTAAAAGACCCCACCTCTCCCTGTGTTCTTCGTGCTCCCTCCTCCTCCCCACCTCTTAATGATAAATTATTAATATGTCATTTATTGTTTTATCCCTTTTAATGTGTACTACTTTTAATATTTGTAAGCTGCCCAAAGTTGCCTCTAGATGAGATGGAAAGCATATCAATGTAATAATAACATAACATAACATAACATAACATAACATAACATAACATAACATAACATAACATAACATAACATAACATAACATAACATAATACCACTTTACAATGCCTTAGTAAGGCCACACTTGGAATACTGCATCCAGTTTTGGTCACCACGATGTAAAAAAGATGCTGAGACTCTAGAAAGAGTACAGAGAAGAGCAACAAAGATGATTAGGGGACTGGAGGCTAAAATATATAAGGAACGGTTGCTGGAACTGGGTATGTCTAGTTTAATGAAAAGAAGGACGAGGGGGGACATGATAGCAGTGTTCCAATATCTCAGGGGTTGCCCCAAAGAAGAGGGAGTCAAGCTATTCTCCAAGGCACCTGAAGGCCGGACGAGAAGCAACGGGTGGAAACTTATCAAGGAGAGAAGCAACCTAGAACTAAGGAGAAACATCCTGACAGTTAGAACAATTAAACAATGGAACAACCTGCCTCCAGAAGCGGTGAATGCTCCAACACGGGAAGTTTTTAAGAAGAGACTGGACAGCCGTTTGTCTGAAATGGTGTAGGGTTCCTGCCTGGGCAGGGGGTTGGACTCGATGACCTCCAAGGTCCCTTCCAACTAATAATAATAATAATAATAATAATAATAATAATAATAATAATAATAATAATAATAATAATAATCAACATAACATAACATAACATAACATAACATAACATAACATAACATAACATAACATAACATAACATAACATAACATAACATAACATAACATAACATAACATAACATAACATACATAACATAACATAACATAACATGCATCAACCTTCCTTGAAGTGAGGCAGGGGGCAAATCCTACAGGAATGCAACTGATGATAGTTTCCATTAGCAGTATCTGTGAAGGAGGGCAGGGAGGGTGTTTCAAAAAAAGTCAAATGGCAGGCATGACTGTACATTGGCAGCCCTGCCTCTTTTTATGTGCACTGCATGCCCAACCCCTAAAAAAAAAGAGATAAGGTTTTGTTCAAATAGTTGCGGCAGCCATCTTGAATCTCCTGCTGGACACACCTGCTTTCCAGAGAGTTAGTGCTTCATTCCAAGGAAATGGCCACCTGAGGGAGGCATAGTAGGGTAATTCTGGATTGTTCTTCTGTTTGCTTTCTTATTGAAGCAACTGACACAGTAGGAGGACAGCCGGAGTTAAGCTCCAAAGAATCTGTCAGCTCCAATGCTGAGCCTTGCATCAAAGCTACTTTAGTTAAGAGCATACTGACTGAAAATAAAACAGGGAACTCTATAAGTAAATCCCTAACTGTCTACATTTCACTGCCCGAGGCAATCAATAGGTTGTGTGTTGTAGTCCATGAGGAAATATTTCATCCCAAAGGATTCAGACATGAAAAAAATTAAAGATCAAAAAAATCACTCATCTGTCAAATCGAACTTGCCAATCTAGTACTGTAGTGGGTAAGGACAATCAAAGCCCAACAAAATCAAATGCTAAAAAACTAGTCATGAGAAGGAAGAAGGAAGTATCTTCTCTCAGGTGAGCGTTTAATAACACTGAACAGCATTTTTTTTTCAAAAGTTTTGCTTCCTGAAAAACGTTTGGTGATTATGATAGATAGACCTATTCAAACTGAACACAAATATAATTTCAGAATGACTATCACACAGAGATCTTCAGAAGTATGAAATTAACTTTTAATGATTACAATGTATTTAATTGCATAATGTTTCTGATATACTGCATGAATTAAACAGAGCTACAAATGTTTTGCTGCCGATTTTCATTTGTACTCAGTGTCCTATGCATCTCGCTGCAATAGTCCAACAATAGTCAATCAACACTGATAGTTTCCAGTTGCCCTGATACTGTTTTTGTATTGTGGCAATGTCCTTTCACCATTTTTGTCACTGACTGCACCTAGATGTTCAGAAAAGAAGCCCAAGTGTGAATGAAAAAAAATGAATCTTCAGTGACATTGTGGGTCATGGTCTTATATGGTGTAAGAAGTTTTTCAACCAGCTGAATATAGTTTGGTGCTCTGTATTTGCCAAAAAAATTCTCAACAACAGCAGAGGCAAAAATACCTTTGTTGAATCAACAAGTGGTTCATGTACCACATTTTTCTGTCCTGAAACCAAATTTCTTCAGAGTGACTATTTCTTTTTAATGTGATGTGACTCTCTTGCAAAGCTGTCACATTCGCATATGTAACAACGGTATATTCAAGTTGTATTTCAAGCAGGACCAAATTTCCTCAATGTCAAAGTAGGTATGATTATATAAGTATAAAGTCATTTCTAATAGGTCCTTTGACTGGAGTTACATCATTTGCTTAGCCCTCCAAGCATTTTCTAGATATCTTAAGGCTGATTCATACTGAGTGAGGTGCTGGAAAGGAGCTGAAAAGACCTTTATCCTGCAGTGAATTGATTTGGATGATGGTGATGGTGGTGGTGTGGTGATGATGATATCCCACCTGGCTCATTATGAATTATATTTAAAATGAAACATTCCCTAATTATCAAAATAATTTATAATCTGGAAAACACATAGTTCAGTGGGAAGAGCAACCAGTCCAAAAATCATGAGAGAGTAAATAAAATGTGATATAAAAATTATTCTTTTACAGTTAAAAGGACATGGATGCAAAAGGGCAGTGCTTTTTTTGTTAAAAAAAAAAAAAGGTGCCGGAACTCACACACGTCATACAACCTGCCTTGCCTACCCTACAAGGTTTACCTTTGCAGTTGAAAAAAAAAACCCTTCAATTTTTAGTCTGTCTAAAAGACTAGGATTTTGTTCAAGGCAACTCTGGAAAATCCATCGAAAAAAAGGTGCCAGAACTCCGTTCTGGTGAGTTCTATGACAAAAAAAAGCCCTGCAAAAGGGTAATATTATTATTCATTACATTTCCATACTGTTAAACTTTTTAGATTCATAGAGGCTTACACCAACCCTAAGCGTCTACAGCAAATCAGATTGTGCAATACAATTTTAGAAAAACATTTTTTCAAAACAAAAGATATAACCTATACCAAATAAACAATAGACTAAAGAGATACAGTTCAAGATGGAACACAACCATCCCCAAAAGCTTTCCACAAGAAAAGACTCTAATGTTAATATTAAAATAATTTTGATGGAGCAGAGGGTTTTTTATGATGCTGAAGTACATTTGTCTTTAGAAATCTATGGAATTAAACAAGCATACTCTGATGAAAATGAAAAATGACTGATAAAAAATTTCTAAAGACACAAAGCAAACAGACTAGCTAAGGTTTATAACACCCACATTAGCTTTACATTCCCCTTCCAAATCAGATCACTTTGATGACTGAAAAGTAATACAAAATGTTTTCCTGCCACTATTCTAATAGTTTCTCATTTGGCCCAGCTAT